TGCCATGGAATAAACATTATGTAAAACATGCCGTGTCAGACCTCTGTCATGAGCTGTCAGGCTTTGAGCTGTGCTTGCAACCAACAAGCAGCAGCATGTCCTCGGTTGTTAGACTGCACGAGCACTCACAGGCAGGTGTAGTATCACTGGAGGCCTACGGCTGGGGGTATAGATTAGTGAGTATCTGAGGTATTTACTTACCCACTCATAAAATCACCAAATATGTACAGGCCATTCAAGTTCGGAGACTCGCAACCTCGATAGACATAGCCTCCTGTAACAGATTTCCCCATTTTGTGTGGATACGCGTAAATTGGAAGCACATCATCTGTAGGGGAGAAAAGATCTGTGACGTGCCTTGTTCTACCTGTGATGCAGAACAGCTGATAGTCCTGAGACTAGCACGATACCATCAGGTTCACTTGAGCATCTTCTAATTAAACGAAGTGCCCGTGGAGTAATATTTAGTTTGATTTTCACCTTTTCTGAACCCTTTTTGATAGCCCTGCCTAGCTGGCTGTGCTAATAACCAGGAATAAGTTAGCTCAGCGAGGCTGATCAGTGTTTCACTTGCAATATAAGCTGAACCCCTGACAAGCCTGAGTGCTCTCTGTCACCCAGACACCGTTCTCCTGAGCCCTTCTCTTCCTGCTACAATCCAGCTCTGTCAGTGCCACTTCTGGCCCATTTCTACACAGCCTGGCTGGTTTTGCTACAAATTTTCAGGTTACTTTTAGAGTCACTGCTCCCATGCAGGAGATGTTTGCCAAAATGCAGCGTTGTTTTGGTGGTGAAAGGGAAAAAAGAGATGGGTAACTCCAGACTGCAGGCACTGAGGAAAAGATAAGTCATATGTCAGCGCAAATAGCTTCTGTTTCTCTGAGACAGGGGAGCTTAACCTGAAAGGGCCATCAAATATTTATGGTATGGCACAGGCAAGAGGTAGTACTGGCATATTCATTGTAAAATATAAGTTAAAACACAAGACAGAGGCAAAACAGAGGGAGATGCCCTGATTTTTGAGGGTCTCCATTAGATACTTCCTCCCCTTCCTTTTTAAACTCCTGGGTCACAGGTATTTCCTCATGGTACCCACTCCTCCTCATCCTCACAGCCTTTCTCCTTGCCTCAAGCAGCAAACCAGCAGCTCTGCCAGCGAGGAATTTGCACGAGGGGCATTTCATCTAAAGCAGGTCTTTTCTACACTTCAGCTGCACTTATCATTTTAAAGGGGCTGTGACATTTCACTTCTAACAAAAGGGTCTCTCAAGGCATCACAAATTGTTTTGAATCCCTAGAGACCTCAGTAAAGTGCCTGCCATGAATGCTTACGCAGGCACTGTCATACAGGAGAGTGCTAAACGGGCTCTCTGACAACTGCTTCAGCAAAGAGAGTGCAAAAAAATCTGCTCCCTGCTCTCAAAATTTTCAGAAAAAACTCTTAATCACTACCACTGTACTTGTAGCTAAGTTAATAAAAGGAAGGAAGTTAAACTAAGTTAATAAAAGGAAGGAAGTTAAACAACAACACATAGCACGTAAAAGACAAAAAAATCAGAATCTCAGCTAGTGCAAAACAGTGCCAGCCCACTGCTGCCTGGATCTCTGGGGAGATGCTCCAGCACAAGATATGGTCCACATCAGGCCTTGCAACACAATACACTGATTTCACACATGCACTGGAATTTAGCCAGCCAGCAAATACCCTGAATGAGGGTTTGAAAAGTTAAAAAAAATAAAAAATTAAGGTTTTTCTTTTTGGCATAGCTAAAAGAAACAAAAATACACTATACATTCAGTTACCTGCGAAGCAGACAGTGGGCATACTAGCTGACCAGCTTACACAATATGTTTCTTTCTTTTTTTCAAGTGAGGGCACTACTTGTGAGTTATGGAGAAAAATACAATTGCTCCAAATTTTTCTTGCTTCTGCAGGAAAGCTTATTTTATGTGGAAAAGATTAAATTGTCCCCCTAAATCAGAAAATCACCAAGCGATTTGACTAACAACACCACCTACAAAAACAACAGCTAGCATGTTTCATTTTCCTCCTAACACAAAAATGGCAACATCTGGACTTTCAATATTTATCCCGAAGTCAGTTCCCTTTTAGACTGAGACAGTATATATTTACATCTCAGAAACCTACGTTTTCCACTAGGCAGCCAGGCTTTGAAGGCAGGAATTAAAAATGACAGCGGAGAAAACTGCACAGTGGGAGATGCAGGTAATTTAGAGAGCACATCTATTTACCCATCGAAGAATTGATGCAAAGTTTTTTATCGTAACAGCTGAACCCTTCCCTCGCCCTCCAGCCGTAATTTTTCCCTTTCTCAACAATGTCGATTTCTTCGTATTTATTCTGCCCCACATCTCCGCAGAAGAGCCGCCCTTTCCCTTCCTTGGTGCGAGGGTCGCCCCTATCGAAAGAGCAGCGCCACATATTTCTCACTCCGTACGCATAGATTTCAGGGCGAGCCTTGGGATCGTCAAGAAAAGGGTTGTCGGGAGGGATTCGGTACAGAGGCCCACGGTCATTGTTGTTCACATCGATCCGCAGCACTTTGCCCAGCAGGGTTGATCTGTATTGGGAGAAGAAAGGAAAGAGAAAAAAAAAAAAATAAAGAAGTAAATCTAGACCTCAGTTAAACATCAGAGATGGGGTTTTTGGAAAGTCTAGGTTTTCATTCTTTCTGTTTTGGAAAAGACAAGTCTTTCCGTATCTCTGAAAAAACAATAATTTCAAAGACAATTCATTTGCCTTGGGCCACCAAACAGCCCTCAGGTGGCACCGGCTTCCCACGACCCGCTGCCCCGCAGACGCACACTGGGCTCTGAGCTGCCATAGGGATGGGTCCACTCTTACTTGTTCTGGGCATTTCCAAAGGTCCCAAAAGGATCCCCAGCCATGCCTCCGTCTCCAGTAAATATATAGAGATACCCATCATCTCCAAAGAGCAGCTCTCCTCCATTATGGTTGGAAGCGGGTTCTTCTATTTCCAGGATTATCCTAAGGGAAAACAGGGAGGAGGCATTACCTACCGCACAAGCCCTAAGCAATGTCACTCCAGTGTTGCCCTTGACACATGGAAATGGCTACAGATCGGTTTTGATGCAGATTCTTCCATATCCACATTACAGAATTTTGCTTGGGCATAGCTGATTTTCTAACCTTAATTCCAATTAATTTTCCAGATTACAGAAACATCAAATTGTGTAATAAGGAAAATCTGGGAAATCATATGACAGAATATACTTTTAATTAGTTATACTTTTCCCCTGACTCTTCCTTCCTCCTTGTTAAACTTCTTTGTTTTTCTTTTTATTTTTTATAAAAAAAAGCATCTCAGCTTAAATCTGATTGTAAATGGCAAGAGAAAGGACTCCAATCCACTTGTGCACTTGTACAGCATTTGGCAAAATCCTGACAGGTGCTTTCAAGGCAAACCTAAAATTCTTCAAACATTAAGGAATAGTTAAATTCTTAAAGTGAGAAGAATCCTTAAATAACAATTACATACACAGGACTTTATGAGTCTATCTAAAGAGTGGTTAAAGGCAACCATACCAACAAATCAACATTTTGACACACGTTATTCAAAGCAGTACCCACAACCTTTACCTTAATTTTGAAACCAAACTCTCTCTTATTTTTATCTGTTTATTTTACGCACTGGGCATCCCTTTCATAGTAAGAAAAGGGTGAAATATGTAAAGTATAACTTTATAGAAAGGTAAAGCCACAAACACATGCAGTGGAGGTTCCCAGGCATAATAACTGAAGTTTATTTTACTCTAGCTTCTAAAAAAGGCCAGATTTCATGCTGACAGTGCCTCTTCATAGCTGCAAAACCAAATTATGATAATCACTTATACTACCTCATTTTTAGACATTTTTTTCGCTTCTGAAAGTACTGATAGTTACAATCACGATCAGATTGTAATTGTGGGAAGGAACCCAGCTACGCAGTTATTGTCACCTGCTGTTAAACATCACCACCTTAGTGCACAGACTCCAACCGGCAGCAGGATCAAGGGAAGATCCTCTGCAGACACAATCTCACAAAGAAGATGGAAAAAACCAAAACACACTGTGCAAAAGCCTGCGGTCAGGCAGATGCACGCCTGCCTAGTAAGGCAATGCACACCACGCGTCGGCCTGAGCCCCTCATGGGCAGCAGCTCAGGATGAAGTCAGTGGGACCCATGCCTACACAAGCACAACAGGACCACAATTTTGTTTTCTTAAGCTTTATCCGTACTAACCATCAGCTAAAGAAGCGCAGAAAATGTTACAAATATAGAGCCTGAGGATTTTTAAACAAGACAGCTCACGGGACTTGACATCTGCAGGTTTAAGCTGCTGACGTGCTTTCCTGAGGACCATGATTAAATTCCCCTTACCTGTCATCTACAGTGCTGGTTTCACTGAATCGCTGTAATTGCTTTACAGACCAGCATTCCCTTTCTATCTTTAGGCTACATGCAATTTTGAGCTAGAATCATCTACTGCTGAGCATCTGGAAAGCCCTAATGTAACCCATGTAACAAAGCAAAAATCTTAACAATAATATTCAAGGCTCTCTTACAACAGTGGTTCTATTACGTCGTTCTGCAACAGGTTATAAATCTACAGACTGACTCCACAAACAAACCTCTCATTGTCTGTGCACATTAGTGTGGACCAGCTGCAGGACCAGACTCAAACAAATGACAGTTCCAGTAAAAATGCAGTCAGTAATAGCATAGTGGCTTACATTTTATTTAAATTGATATTAAATTTGTAATATCATAGGGTTGAGCGGTCATTCAGATAAAGAAATGTGAGGCCAAATCCCTCTTTGGTCCAGTACCACTGAGTTTGTGGATACTGATTTTGGAAACCTTTGGCTTTGGAATGAATTTCACTCATGTTTTGCAGAAGTCTATTTTAAAGGGTAATAACTACATTACCAAAAGAAACCCAAACCAAAAACCAACCCCCAAAGTGCTAACTGTAAATAATGTTTAATCAATGTTCAATTAAATCTTCTGACATACCAGAACAGAGAAATGTAAATGTCTTATTCCTGAGCACTTGCAGCTCACCCATGGAGGACGGGCATATCCTCTGCCTCAGTAAGCTAGACAAGGACTTGGACTAACCTGCTACCACACAGGAATGCAAGAACAATACTAAGCTAAATAAGTCTCATCATTAATAGCCTTGGAAAATGCACAAGCCGCCCTCTGAGATCTTAAATACATTTGCCAGAGAAATGTGTGTACAATACCTTTCAGAACTATGGTCCAAAGCATTCATGTCAGCAGGAGAAATTCTGAACTCACTGATTCGGATTCTCTCTTCATAACGAACTTCAACTGAATAGTAGACATACACTTTACCATTAAATTTGAATTTAGGATGGAAGACAATACCTAGAAAACCTCTCTCGTCTCCTTCCCAAGGTGAGGTAAGTACGGCTTCGCTGATGTTCAGAAACGGCTTTTCGAGCCTGGATCGATCGGGGAGGTAGGTCCACACCAGGCCAACCTGCTCCGCAATGAAGAACCTGTGGGTGCCATCGTTGGCATGCACCATCGCAACAGGATTGCGCAGCCCGTTGGCAACCTCCATGAGGCAGAGCTGGAGACAGCCCTCCGCGTCGGCGGTCACGAACCCCAGGTTTTGGTTAAGGTTCTGGTTAGCCAGCAGATGTGGAAAACAGTAGTCTGTGTCCTCCAAAGACAGGTAGTGGCAGAATTTTGCCATGTTGTTCTCCAGTGCAATTAACTCTTGGTCTGCAGAGAGATAGCGAAAAATGGAGCGGCAGTTCTGCCACACTTGCTGGCAATAGTCTTGGCAAAGCCCTGGTATTGTCCGCACTGGGGTGGAGGGATCCTCGGCATCGTACAAGTGAGCTGCATATGGAGAGCATTCCTAAAGGGAGAGAGAAAAAGCCTCTAGCTTCTTGGACCAGATTTGAAACAGCTGAGCAGCAATACTAATTGGAGAAATTTCACCTTAATTACAACATATGTTGTGGTTTATTCTGAAGATATATTAACAGAGGAAAAGATCTTAGAAAGGAGGTTTATCGCAGCATTCACGGAAATGATCTTCAATATTCCTGGTGAAAGCTGGCTTCCTCATGCCATGCCATAATTCATTTATTCCAACCATAGTACCAACTCAAGAAAACCAGCAATGACACATCTTGCTACATCACCCTACTAGACCGTACTGGGGAAACAGAGACTTTTCTATCTTGGATGCTCTGACTTTATCTATGAAATAAGGAGCAGATTCATCACAGCACAAAAGAGAAGCCAAAGAGTTAGCTGAGAAGATTCAGGTCCTGCATCTCCAGGCTGAGGAGGGAATGGGAAAAGTTGGTAGGCCCAAAGCCTGCAACTTTCATACCTCATCGTCTGATAATCCAGACATGCACCTCAAACACAGATGTGATTTACAGGTTGGAAGGAGCAGAATGAGTAAGTGTAGGAGTAGAGGAGAAGGACACCCATCCTTCGTACCACGCAGCGCACCCCGCCCTGGGATGGTACCACTGCATATACACCATCCTCAGGTCCAGCTGCCTTTGCTGGTGGATCTTTGCCTGCAGACAGTTTATACACCTGACTAGAAGTGGTGAAATGTATCTCATGATTATGACATTGGTCACCAAGTTCTGCAGGGGATGTTCAGGCTACAGGATTTCAGACAGTGAGCAATAACTGGACATAATCCAGGCAAGGTCCATGGGAGTGGCTGTAGCACAACCCTCATTTGTGGAAGGTGCAGCCTCAGAAATCTACCTAACGACTGAATCAAGTTCACATAGCTCATTGCATTCTCCGCTATGAGAACTCCAACAGGCACATTTTCCTTACGCAAAAAACCACTGCAATCCAGTAAAACTGTCTGTAAATGACAAACTGACCAAAGTGACTCAGTTCTGCTGTGCAAGGGCTTTTCCTTGTAATAAACACACAATATTTTCCAGTTGTAATACATCTTCCCGACAAGCATCTCAGAAGTGCTCTCCAAATAACATAACATGACTCAGTGGAGGCTCAGTGATTTTCACAGGGCAGATGAATAACTGAGGCAAAAAAGGCAGGAAGAGAAACTATCCTTCTTGAATAAATTCCATATTTTTTAATTCCTAGATGGCATTTCTTCCAAGCAAAACCAGCTTAGTTAAAAAAAAAAAAATATAGGGAGCTGTTTCTAAATCTACAGGGAGCTATTTCTTAATGCAGATTACAGCACTATTCAATAGTTGAAACCATGTAACATCTGAGATACTGAAGTATTTAAATTATCTGATAAGTACACACAATATTTAATTTTTTTCCCATTACATACCATAATAAACTGAGAGGCCATATAACAGATCATTAGTGTACAATAAGCTTTCCTCCTGGAATGTCAAGCCATTCATTGCAAAATGAAGGTTATTATGCTTTCAAGTGAGCAGCAATTAATGAGGTAAAAAGGAGATTGCGCGTGACACAAAACACTGAAATTACCCGGGCAGACTGGGTAACGGCACTCGGCTCGGTTACAGGAGGTGTGCCAGGGAAAGAACAAGCCGGAGCATTTGCCAATGCAGTTGTTATGAGTGAAAATTTGGCCTTAGAAAACAAATTGAAACAGGACAGAAAGGGAATTTGAAGGCAGGGCTGGATAGGAGCTCAGCTGGTTGCTGCCTGCGGAGGTTTCACATTCAGGAGAGGAGGCCCACTGCTTGAGCACTGGGCTGGACCTGTTTCTCAGAAAGCCTCTTTCAAAGCAAGCGGTGATCTCATGCATTATAAAGCAATGTCCTGGCTTCAGTATCAGAATTAAAAATAGCACAAAGGTATGATTTCCCTGTCCCTCTGCTGCTGTGGGCTGTTCACCCCAGCCTCGGGTATGTTTGGACAGCAGTCAGGGATGACTTCTTCAGTCCTTACCATGTTCCTGGTGGCTATATGGCTATTTACAGGGGCATTACGCGGGTGGTGATGTACAGAGATCTATCCCTAGCCAGACAGTACCCAGCTATGTGTCTAGGGTATTTTCCAGACACACATGGAATATTTTGCAATTTTCATTCCACAAGAGATGGAGGCTGAAGCCTTATCCTGAATTTCCCCACTTCCGAGTCAAATGTTGTAATCCTTTACCGTTCACATTGCCTTGTCAACACTCACTAACTCAAAACACCAAGAAACTCTACACTTGGTTACAGCCCAGTATCACTAATAGATCTAAATTCTCATTTCCAAATGACATGGTCTGTTCACTCATATTAAACTGTCATGTAGTCCAAAGACCAAGGAAACTAATGGGCAGACGATCAGCAACTTCAGTAGGGCTGGAACAAGCTCTCACCATGAAAACAACTCATCAGAAAATAAACCAAGTAAAATGAAGGCAAGTTAGCCAAACCCATCCTATCTGTTCCAGGAATTCAGAGGCAGCTATTTATCTGAGGAATTGCAACAGTCTGAATCTGGACGAACACCCACATCGAACAATGGCTTATTTACTGCTGCCATGAGCCCGGAGGAAGCAAAGGGACTCCTCAGGAAAGCATTCAACTTTCATGTAATCCCTGACATTCCCTGTCCACCTCCATCTGGAAACTCAAGCCTTTAAGCAAGCTATTCCCTGAGAAGCAGAACAAGGCGTCTGTTATCCCGCAGTTTGGAGTCCTGTATCCCACCACACAATAATCCACATCCACACGTGTTCCTTGTGCCCCCTGAGACCTGCTGCCCCCCATCAAATTACTTCCCAGTGTTGAGGCTGTGGGGCTGTCAGGGGGATGTCCCTCCTCATCCCTCCACTCCCCCATGGCTGAAGGCATTGTCTCAGCCTGATTCTGGGTGGGGGGAACCCTATTTTGCAGCTGGGGGATCATGGGCAGCGCTGAGGGAAGGATGTTGCCGCTCTTCTGCTTGCCCTTCCACAAAGAACAGAAACAGCACCATGCAGCAAATCATAATTTAAGAGAAGGTAGGAATCCCCACCACAAGTACAGGCCTAGACACTTGTCAAAATAATTTGATTACATTTGAGAGAAATCACAAATTGCAAGCAGAAAGAGACAGAAATTAGATGAATAAGTCACAGAAACCCACTTATTAATTCAGGTCTAGGATATAAATTGTATATATATTTAATGGCAGGAGATGTTCTGGAGTGTTTGCAATGCCTGAACTTCCATTTTGTGCTTGTGTAGCTGTGTCTGGGTTGGTGATGCACTGAGCTCATCAGAACATTTCAGTGAATCATTTTTCCCACATTGAAATATTTCACTGCTTCTGAACAAATTTTCAACAGTCATGGTTTCTGATGTACGCAGGAGACTTACTTATCACTTCCTGAGGCAGGAGGAGTGCTTGGCAGGCACTGCTGACTGCTTTCCTATCTGCAAATGGACTTTTGGACGCTTGTTTCAGGAATATATTCAAAGGCTTTTTACTTCCAGTACAATGTGGGATGAAATAAAAGTCAAATCTCTAGAAGCTGTTGTGGAAAAGGGTTGTCTTTCTCTTCACATTTTCGGAACACGAGAGGTACCCTGCAAAATGCTAAGAGCAAGATTTCTGCAAAGCCACTTTGATCCCATCTGAGTACAGCAGACGAGACTCCACTGTCTGAATTAATTTAAGATTTACACTTGCACAGCACAGAGCTGCCCCTCTCTGTCTCAGGGGCATTTTCATATATACGATGCCACCACTAATGATAGGGTCAGATCCTTTGCTCTGTGCAGACTGTGATCATCCTGTTACCATATCTGGCCAGAGCACATCAACCCTGAGTGGAAATTTCCCTCATGCAGAATGGCCACCACAGAGATTTCTAGGCCACATCCTCAAGCATTACTCTGCACTCATCATCAGGACTGTTAGCACCTGGCACACACTAAAAGCATCTCAGGATGTTGTAACCTAGTACAAAAAAACACCTGATCCCATGAGTTGAGTGTAACAAGGAGCACATTTTGTCCAGGAAGGTCTCCTCCTGAGTGTCTTCACTGGGTCCAGTGATCTAACCCTGGGAGGGTGAGGGGAATCTGCAAATTATAACTGCCCACGTACCCGTCTCAGAGCACATAATTAAAGCAGAGCAACATCCCTATTCCTCTTTCAGACACCTGCCAAAGGACAAAAACTCTACTGGGACACCTGATGATGGACAGTTGCTCCTGACAGTGCCCCAGAGCACATGCCTAGGCTGCTGCACTAATCCCCAATGCACCCATATGTGGGCCAATGGACTCGTGCACTGATGCCACGGCTGATGCAGCTGTAGGGTGGTCCACGTACCCCTGTGCGGGCCTGGGAACTAACACCATGGCTCACACACCCCTGGGTTGTTCAAAGCCCCTGTGCCCTGCACAAGTGGATACAGTCATTCCTGGGCGGATGTGCCCATGTCATGGCTCATGTCCCCCTGTGAGGTCCAAAGTACCCGTGCCTGGACCAATGCGCCCATGC